AATTTCGCCGATTTTGAAGAATTGCAGGTTTGGCGGGACGTCGCTGGGGGTTGTGCGCGCTAAGATAAGAGAGATAAGACGTTTCGTGGCGTTTGCGTTGGCAACCCCACCAAGCTGTGGCTTGACAATGCAAGGCTGAAGGTAGCCTCATAACTTTTTTTTCCAATTTCTGTCTGATGTCGACAGTTTTTTTGAAGCAACTGAACCGAACTCTCCACTTTCTATAACGTTCCACCAAGTTATCATCTGCTAGTAACCAGTGTAATGCCGCCGCGTGGAAGAGGAGGAACTTTTAGAGGCCGCGGTGGTCGTGGCAGAGGAAGAGGTGGTCGAGGAGGTAAAGCGACAAGCCGATTTGGACCTAATCGAAGGTTCGACGGAACTCGACTTGCAGACAACGATGAGTATGCTTTGAGATATGAGCGATCACTAGCAATTATACTGACATATGGTAGGTCCGAAAGCTCAGGGTCAGAACGGGAATCCACGCCTGAGGATGCAGTCATGGAGGACATCGATTCAGAGGACGACGACGATGAACATACAACATCTTCAAAGCCATATATGGCCCTCCTTCAAAGTTTCAACAACGAAAGCAATGCCCCAAATGCAAAACGACGAAAATTGAACCACAAAGAGTCCACTCAATCTCAACCTGAAGAAGACTCCTCTGGGGAAGAATCACACGCAGATGACCAAGATGAAGATACCGAAAAAGATATCGACCGTGCTGAGGACGAGGCTGAAGAACAAGTTGAGGAGCAATTGGATGACGATGAAGACTCAGAAGACGAAGAAAACCCAACAGATCCTTTCGACGTACACTTTGCGCACCCCAATGACGATACTGTCTCACAGAGAGTCAAATCCGTACAAAAGAACGATTGGGCAACGAAACGAGCACTACTACAAACTCTGAGAGCAACTATCTTGTACCCAGGATCTGATACAGGGCCTGAGATACCAAAACCTATTGCTAGCTTGGAAGGGCTACAACTCAAGCAGAAGCTTAGAGAGACTTCCTCTCGCAAGATCGGGGATTTCGATACCCTTCAGCGCAATTTGGGCCCTCTGATCTTCAATTATAATGATGTGCTGTTTTGCGATCGCACAGTACGGAACTCAGACTCATTGCGAGAGTTAGCATGCTTACATGCTCTCAACCATGTTTTCAAGTGAGTTCATCAATTTTACATTTTATTAAAGAAAACTAGTCGCTAATCAAGGAAGAACTCGAGATCGCGTTATCAAGAACAACTACAAATTGGCCAAGGAGGGTCAAGATACCGACCTAGAATTACGAGATCAAGGCTTCACCCGTCCCAAGGTGCTCTTCCTCTTACCAACACGTAACTCAGCTCTTCGAATGGTGAACATGATCCGTGATATCTGTGAACCGGACCAGCAAGAGAACCGCAAGCGATTTGACGACGGTTATGTCGATAAAGAGGCTAAGTTCGGCACTGATAGACCAGCTGACTTCAAGGATCTTTTCGAAGGAAGCGATGATGACATGTTCCGTCTGGGCATGAAGTTCACTCGCAAGACAATCAAGTACTTTGCGCAATTCTACAACTCAGACATACTCTTCGCCAGTCCTCTCGGTCTTCGTATGGCTATTGGTTCTGAGGAAGATAAGAAGCTTGATTTTGACTTCCTGAGTTCTGTTGAGATGGTCATTGTTGACCAAGCGGATGCACTTCTCATGCAAAACTGGGAACACGTCGAATTCATCTTTGAACACCTGAACCTCCAGCCCAAGGACGCCCACGGTTGTGACTTTAGCCGTGTGAGAAGTTGGTATTTGGAAGACTGGGCAAAATATTTCAGACAGACTATCATCTTGTCTGCCTTCAACACCCCCGAACTGTCTGAGCTTCTTCGATTACACTGCCACAACTGGGCTGGAAAGGTCCGGCTGCAGCCTGAGTACCCGGGTGTGTTGTCGCAACTCGGTATCAAGGCGAAGCAAACCTTCTCCAGGTTCCAGTCTAGCTCGGTTGACAAGGATCCTGATGCACGATTCGAGTATTTCACGTCTGCTATTGTCCCCTCACTTGCCAAGCGGGCAAAGGACGCTACTGGAACGCTCATCTTCATCCCCTCCTATCTGGACTTTGTCCGAGTGAGAAACTACTTTGCAACTTCGAGTGCGGTCGAGAATGTCACTTTTGGTGCCATCTCCGAATATGCAGATGTACCAGAAGCCTCGCGGGCGCGGTCACATTTCCTCAACGGGCGCCACCGCGTTCTACTCTACACTGAGCGAGCGCATCATTTCCGACGATATCAATTCCGTGGTGTACAGCGAGTCATATTCTACGGATTACCTGACAATCCCATTTTCTATACTGAAATTGCGGGTGGATATCTTAGCAAGAGTGAGCAGGACCTCAGACTTGAACCTGGCCAGGGAACTGTCAAGGTTGTGTTTTCAAAATACGATGTAATGAAGTTGGAACGGATCGTGGGTTCCAAGAGAGTTGGCAAGATGATTCAGGATCGCGGCGATACCTTTGAATTCATTTAAATGCATCTTGTATTGGGAGTATGTTTGAAAAGTTAGTAGAGCTAGGACAGCGTATTAAGTCTGCCTTTTTAAAAGCGCCGTGGTTAAATAAAGCCACAATCGTGTCATGATATAATAATTTATACAACTTTTGTACAGAGCTTCAACCCTTTCGTAAAATGATATACATGTCGCTTCTATGACGAGTTCTTCTGTTGCGCCGCCTTTCTCACTGACTCCGGTACGATGCCAGCGGCCATTTCCTTTGCCCGCTCAGCATTCTTGCCTGCCGCATTCTCGGCCTCAACTTCAGCCAAACTACTCTCATCCCGTTGTTGTCCAGTGTTCTCACCGGTCTTCAAAATCATAAACCTCCGCACCATCTCCTCGAACGGCACCTCGCCGCGGAATTGTGTGACTTTCTTGATGTTGGTTCTGGTAACAGGAGTATGCTCCTGCCCAAGCATTCGGTCGCGGGCAACCGTCTTAGCAGTCATCATGAAGCGCGAGTCCTTCGGGCCGTCGACGAATTCAAGAATGGCACTCTCGCCCTGATCATATGTGTTCTTGGACTCGGTGCGCACGACGCGGGTATAGCCTCCCTCTCGGGTCAAATATCGGGTTCGCAGCTCGCCTAGCAGCTTAGGAAGGGTTGTGGTGGGTGTCTAGCGAAGAATCCTCCTGTTAACATGGTCTCTCTGAATAAACCTTCTTGCGATATACATACGTATAGGATACCCTGTGCTGATCTCCGAGCAGGCTCGTTGTCCCTCTTCGCCAATGTGATGAGCTTCTCTGCCATGCGCTGAGCTTCCTTTGCCTTGGCATAAGTTGTGTGAATATGTTCGAATTGGACGAGTTGAGTGACCAGACCGCGCAGCAAGGCAATACGGGCTGCTGAGTTGCGACTCAGATGTCGGTACTTGACGGTACCGCCAGCCATTGTAACGGATGTTTAGTGACAAGTGGCTGGGGAGGGGTATCAAGTCAATTGAATGGCGGTACTCGACTTATTAAAGATGTTTTCGATAGTTCGTCGCTTTGCACGTGGGCGGCTCCCAACCCGTCTAAGATACGGTATCTTTGGTGGTCAGTTTTTGGTGGAGGGAAATTTTTGGCTGGGCCTTTTTCGGAGCCGGCTTGTCTTGTCCGCCGACAGAGCCTCTGCGCTACGTCAACCCACCACCATCAGAACCTCTTCAACAGCTCTCCAAAGGGAAAATCGCACGCGTCACGAGGGCAATTGGGCTCGCGCACGCTATGAAACGTTGTATCTAAGCTTCATTCGGCCCTCACTCTCGAACTGGTCGTCTCTGATACATCAAGCACCCGGCAAATTACCGCATCTCGGTCAACCGGGCAAAGCTCTACATCATGGGCTTCACCACTGGTTTTGTACGCAACTCGATGAGCCAAGGTGATAAAATCTTGCATATGATAGTATGCTAACTTCGACTCTTAGACCGGCGGTGTCACTCTCACCCTCTCCCTCGCCTACCTCTCTGTGCTTGCTCACCAGCGCACCCGCGAGCAACAAGGCTCTGCCCTTCGCACACAAGCTCTCGCTATTCAAGGGTTGATCGATCCTCTTCCACCACTGCCTCCGCCCACGCGGTCTGAAGTCGCCGCTGCTCAAAGGGCTCAGACCGTTGAGATTGCTAAGGATCGATGGAACACCGAAGTTGAAAACGCCGTGCGATGGGTGCAGCACACTGACTGGGTTCAAGTGCGCGAAGGCCTCGAAGACACTGCATCACGGCTATGGGCCAGAGCCTTTGGTGTTAGCCCCTCAGAAGCTGTTGGCGAGGCTGGGCGAAAGGTGACGGAGACTGAGCAACAGGCTAAGCCTTTCGTAAAACAGGGGGCTGCTAAGCTTGGTGATGCTAGTGGAAAGGTGGCGGCAGCGGCCAAAAGCGCTTTCCAGAAGACCAAGGCTGAGAGCAAGGATTTCGCCAGTGTTGTTCTGGATCACAGCAAGGATAAGGAGAATGTCGATATTGCTCAAGAGGACGGTACTCTTTCAGCACTGACTCCTGTGGAGAGGGCGCTCCAGCAACGATTCAGCAAGCCTGAGGACAAAGTGAACAAGACAGTGGAGGAGGCGCTGAACGACAGATACAAGCCTATGGACGCGAGAGATAACACCCAATTGAGAGGAGTCTAAAGGAAAACCGTTGAACAAAAGGTGGGCTGGTTGACGATGAGTGGGCGAAAGGTGTGAATATTTGTTGTACATTGCTATCTGTACCACCATTTCTTAGAGTCACCCGAATAGAAGCCAAGCTTGGGAATGCTTGGTATGATCAACTGAGCTGTTGTATCAAGTGAGTTTATGTGATAGCAGCTACTGATTACCTCTCAACATGAACTACCTATATATACAGCCTCCTCATTTGCAAATAATTTTCTTTCTCTATGCGATCAATTGCAGTTTCCACCTTACATATATCAATAATTCTTATACCAACATTGGACTTATAAACGAAGGATCATGGCTGGCGAGGACTCCAAAGGAGGGGCAAGCAACAGCAAAAGCCATACCAAGAGTCACCACAGCAAAAGTCATCATGATAAGAGCAGTAGGTCGGAGACAGGCACCAGGGCTACTGAGGACCTATATGGCATGGAGTTGAGGGCTACAGCGAAGAAAAAGAAGAAGAAGCACGGCCATCATCGTCCTAAACTGAGACCTCCAACTAGCTTCCTTGCCCTTCTGTGCTGGGACTCTTGGCTCCCTTGGCCAATTGATTCCGAGAAAACCCAGGTCAACAAGATAGCACACAAGCACAAGAGGTCTAAGAAGAGGACTTCTCAGTCGGGCACCTCACGTCGAGTGCAATCTTGGGTTCAGGAGGTGTCTTCTCAAGCGACGCCCGCCGCCCCCCCGATATCGCCAACTGTGGCATCTCCAGCACCATCGGTTCCCCTTCCACATTCAGTTTCGTCATCCTCCGGGCCTCAGCAAGAAGCCGAAGCTGCGGAGGCAGCTTCGAATAACGGTAAGAATACGGCTAGAGGTGCACCCACACCATGTAATGCTAAAATTAGTGAAAAGAGCCGGCCAAGAAATAACTCAGTGCTAGTGCCATTAACCTACCACAGTGCTCATCGACATAGCAGGAGTTTTGGTGCGGGTGAAAGGATAACAGACCCCACAGCTGGTCAGTATATGCAGGAGGCGTACGGGAAAGAAGCGAGTAGTTTGGCCGACGAGGATCAGAGACAGAGGCAGGTGGCTGAGTATTGGAGGCAAAGACGGGAAGGACAGCAGCGCTTGCAGGATGAAGAGCATCAGAGGCTCATGCAAAGAAAGATGAGCAATCGGTCTGGACATTTGGCATCGATAAGAATGCCGGCTGATAGACGGCCACCCTCTCTGTCTGAAACAGAAAGAGTGTACGCGCAGAGGACGACAGACTGTGTGTTGAAAGGTAACGGCCCTAAAAGGAGAGGGCGATGGGCTGTAGGTCAGAGCATCGGGTCCAACTATTAACCTAACGCTCGATACGAAGAAATGAGACCTCGCAGTCATCCGATGCCCAGCATGATAAGTGACGAACTTCGAAAAACGACGTTGCCAACGAGAGCTACAGCTAGTTCCTTTGATGACGGCAGAGATATTTCGGACTAGATATGTATCTGTTCAGATTTGGTTTCCGTTTGCGAGTGCTCAGATAAGAAATCATCCATACATCAGATTATTTTCTTGTTTGAATTTCTATTGTCGCTTTTCTGTTTCAATGGTCGAGTCAACCCACTGTGAATCTGGGAGCATGACCAGCAACGGAGGAGAGCTCGTCGAATAGGAATTAGGACGTTATAGAAATGATAAACTGAATTCCTAGAGACTCAGAGCATGAAATTCCCCGTTTACTCAAATCTTGCGTGAGGTACCTAGTTGAAAACTGCCCACCTCGGTTTGGCGGGCTTCTTTTCAGCATCATATATATTCAGGCACTCAGGGGCTTTGCACCAGGAACCTTAAACATGATATGTATCCGAGTCGACACACCAACTCAGAAAACGGTTCATAGAATTTGTAATGCAGGCCTAGGAGAGAATTGTCACTCACGGATTTGCTCGTTGATGCCTAAGGTAAGCGGCTGCGCCAAACTTACCTTCTCGCGCACCCTTATCCTCAGAAGCACAGGCTGTGTTTCTGCTTCATTACTCAACAACAACATGCTTTTCGGTGCACAGAAAACCGGCCTTGACGCATTGTTGAATCGTCCGCGTCCCACCAAATGGCAACAATTCTGGTCTAGCCCGTGCAAATTTCTTGCACATTTCTTGTACACTCTTCGTCGCATTATCCACGAACCTCCCGCAAATCCCGTTTCTATTGTGTGCATATCAGACACGCATAATTCTCAACCTCATCTGCCCTTTGGAGATATACTCATTCACGCCGGAGATCTTACACAATCGGGGACGCTAAGAGAGCTGGAGGCTACTATTGCTTGGCTCAACTCTCAACCACATACACACAAGATTATCATTGCAGGAAACCATGACATACTGCTCGACAAAGGCTGTGATCGTCGGGAGGGGGATGCAGTCATTGAGGAGGCAATCAACTGGGGAGATTGTATTTATCTTCAAAACGAGACTACAACCATCACCTGCAGCAATGGCCGAAGCCTAAAGATATATGGAAGCCCTCTATCACCTCGCTACGGAAACTGGTCGTTTCAATATCCACGAAGCCAAGATGTTTGGTCAGGTACTACTCCGAACGATATTGACGTTCTCGTCACTCACGGCCCTCCTTTTGCCCATCTCGATCTAAATCTCGGGTGTTATTATCTTCTTCAAGAGCTATGGCGCATCCGTCCTTTGCTGCATGTTTTTGGGCATGCACATGAAGGATATGGACAGGAATCTGTGGTTTTTGATAGATTGCAGAAGACGTATGAGAAGGCTTTATGTGATGGCAACTTATGGAGTTTAATGAAGGTATTCAAGGAGTTTTTGAGGTCGCTCCCAATGAGAAAGAAGCAGGCGACGACTCACTGTCAGCTTGTGAACTCAGCAATGGTTGGAGGACTAAGAGATAATGAGAAGAGAGAACCAATCAAAGTTATTATTTAATTAACTTGTCGAAGTGACTAAAAGAGCACCTGAGTGCATTGGCTTCAGCTCTAAACAAAGGCCACATGTGGCTCAGTAACAATTATGTTCATAGCCAGGAATTCAGCGCTTCGGAAACTGACCTCTGGCGTTTCACCAGAAGAGTGGGGGATGGTGATTGGCTCATCCAGACACGCACAGCCTTGGCCCAGGATGGTTGAAGTTCAAGAACTACTTCACGGGCACGCAGTTCCGCCTCAGCTTCTGCATCAGCAATAATTGCAGGACAGCCCCGTGGTAGCCCTCTTTCAATGAGTGGGTTGAAGGCCTTTGCGAGGTAGTGTGTGAGAACAGCAAGGATCGCATAGCGGGCTGGATCTGTATCTTCAGGATCTGGGATAGCCTTCACAGACCATGTCGATTGGTTGAAGTACTCCATCTCAGAGCGAAGACCGGCGGTATATCCAACGACGAGGTACTCGTACATTCGGTAGAGGGACGCAACAGGGTTCTTTCCCTTGGTAAGAGCTGACTTTCCCTGGCGCTGACGTCGTTGATCAAGCAACCAAGCAACCTTTGGAGCATCGTGCATTTGGCCAGAAGATGAGAGGCAGTTGAGGTTCTGGTAGACAGCACGGATTGCTGGAAGACAAGGCATGGGGGACACTTCTATATTCTTTATCCCAAAAGATAAACAACGGACGCTCTCGCAGCAAGCATATGAACAGCGGGAAGTCATTTTCGAGGAGCCTGGCTTAACCGTACTCGCTGCACCTTGGGAATATGCATTCTGCTGTAAGATCGATCGCCTTTCCGAAGCTGGACTTCACAGTCCTGAGTCATACGATGCGAGTGATGCTGTTGAATATTTGCACCGTTACTTGACCAAGTCGAAGCTTGAATATATCCCAAAATCAACCGCCCAGGCCTAGTATGCTCAGTTTTCGCTTGAATGGAATGCCAAGACAGACGAAGTTCTTCAGTCCATTAACGATATATATGTAAAGCGCTTTTGGGTTAAGGCCCCTATCAACTAATGCTTTGCACATTAGGAAATGCAGGTAAGAAATTCATGCATATAGACCATCAAGAAACATGACTAATTATGAGAAAGCAGACTGTCTGTGCTTCCACGATCCGAGGAAATGTCAAACATTGAATCACGCGATAAGGAGCTTGCTCGGTAATATGGCATGTCTTTGCGGTGGCATCTCCGGAGGAATCCCCCACTTGTTCCGGCCTACCGGCAACGGCCAGAAAGAAGAGCGTCAAGGGCGGGGCGGGGCACGGAATTAGAAAAGTCGGGGCCGTTATTGGCTTGCGGGGTTGATTGGGCTGGGCTGGCAGTTTTCCGCGGCTTCTTCAGACGAGGTAGTCAATGGATGGATCCAATGGATCTTTAGAAGACTTAGGACGAGCTTTAGGAAGATTTGACATATAATTCGGACAAGTTTCATCAAGGTTTAGACTAGAATCTGGCGGCAATTGATCGAATTGTCTTATCCATTATGACGGCCCCTCCGAATCATCCTTGGGGGGAAATCCCCAAACAGAAGGATTCCGAGGTTCTTTTAAGGGTCTCTCTGCTGGTTCGATGCGAGTGAAGCGAGGTCGGCAGTCGCCGGCTCAGCTCAGCTAAGACAGTTGAGGAAATTTTCCAGTGGCAAGCGATAGCGATTGGGCGATATAATGGAGCTGGTGGGTGATTGGTTCCTCTGATTGGACAAGCCACAGACTTTCCGAACTTGACCGATCACACCGCGTGCACATGCACAAGAAGGAAATCGCTGACGGGCTCAGTTATACCGGCGCTCTCATTGGCAATTGCTGTTCTGTCTAAGATTCTAGTCCCCAACGCCGAACCTTTATCATCTTTTCCACCCCCAACTTCCATCTTGACTTACTCTCCTCCTTCAAATCCCCTCGATACCCTTTGTCTTGTTATTCGTGATTTACGTTGTTTCGTCTTCCCCTCGTCATCGTTCCGACCTGTCCCGCCATCACAAGGACCCCAGTTGATCGTTGGATTTTTGGCCACCTTACGCCCGAGGCCCGCCATTTGTTTCGCGCTGAAACCTTCGCTGTTCATCCTTTCAAAACCAACAATCTTCTCTCCAAAACACTATCAATCGTAACCGCCATTATGTCTTTCTCCAGCCTCGTTCAGGACTTGAGCCTTCGCGACTCCAATGGCGCTCGCCGCCCTCAGATCCCTGGTCCCCGCTCATCCGTCTCGACCCTCGATGACCGAGCTTCACACGTCTCACGTGCTATGTCCTACACCAGCACTGCTGCCACCAGTGTTAGCATTTCCGGCGACATCTCAAGCCAGCTTCATGGCGGTTACTTCCACCCTCTGGCCCGATCATGGCAGGCTGAGCGTCAACTCACAAAGGTATGTAGCATAATTGAGCCCTTAGTCACCAAGACCTAGGTGTCTAATAAGATGTATCTAGTCCATGCTCATCTACCCTCTCTTCGTCACCGACGGCGAAGGCGACATGATTCTCGTTCCTTCTCTCCCCGGCCAACACCAGCTCAGCTGCGACAAGTTGATTCCTTTCCTCGAGCCTCTCGTTCACAAGGGCCTCCGCTCTGTTATACTCTTTGGTGTTCCCATGCAAGCTGGTACAAAGGACGCTCTGGGCACCGCCGCCGACGACCCCGAAGGACCTGTCATCAAGGCCATTCAAATTATTCGCCGCCGTTTCCCACAGCTTTTCATCTGCTGTGATGTCTGTCTTTGCGAGTACACTTCTCACGGTCACTGCGGTATTCTCCGTGATGATGGCAGTCTGAACAACCAGTTGTCTGTTGATCGTATCTCCGATGTTGCCATTGCTTATGCCAAGGCTGGTGCTCACTGTGTTGCCCCTTCAGACATGAACGACGGCCGCATTCGCGCCATCAAGCTTAAGCTTATTGAGGAGGGAATCGCCCACAAGACTGTTCTCATGTCGTACTCAGCTAAGTTCTCAGGCTGCTTGTATGGCCCTTTCCGAGATGCCGCCGGCTCAGCACCTTCATTTGGTGACCGCAAATGCTATCAGCTTCCTCCTGGTGGTCGTGGTCTCGCACGACGTGCCATCGTACGAGATATCAACGAGGGAGCCGACATTATTATGGTGAAGCCTGCTAGTCAGTATCTCGACATCATCAGTGATGCCAAGGACTTGGGTAAAGATCTTCCCGTGGCCGCATACCAGGTCAGTGGCGAGTATGCCATGATACATGCTGGAGCCAAGGCTGGAGTCTTCGATCTCAAGGCCATGGCTTTTGAATCAACAGAAGGTATTCTTCGAGCTGGCGCTACTATTGTAGTCAGCTACTTCACCCCCGACTTCCTCGACTGGCTCGAAAACTAAGGACGGTAAATTCCACATGCGATACAATGAGATCATCTTCAGGCGTTGAGAGGTGTTTTGGACGAAAATCTGGGCGTTTTATAAATCAAGGAAGGGAACAAGGGGATTTGAATATGTTACATCAAGAGGCACTACATGAATGGAAAAGGAATCGCTCGCTAATGAAAGACAATATACAAATACAAACTTTGTGTTGAACCCAATCGACTTTAAAAGTGTCACAAATGCTTGTCCATCCATATATGGCACCAATGGTCTGAAAGAAACTTCAACAGAATATAGCTAGGTAACGGATTAACAGGGTTGCACAATGAGTTCAAAATCAAATGCAGATTGTACAGCGCGGTAGGTCATAACAAGGAAATGTAGCGGGCCTGTCGAGCTCTGGCAATACTGCTGGAATTCGGAATTGGATGGATGACAGGCACAGATGGCGTATCGCCTGTTCAACGCATCTCCACCGTCAAGATGAAGTCAACGAGAAACTAGATGGCTGGCAGTGAAGCGTGATAGTGATAGTCGTGTAGATCACAACACACTTGAAATCACGGACAGAAGCAGGTCCACAGGGCGATGTTTACAAGGGCAGTAGATGCGAGAAAGGACCAGGCAAGCTTATATGTTTTATGGTACGAGGGTAGCGAAGGTTATACTCTGTAGGTAGGTAGTTGGCAGACTGAAGCACATATAAAATCATCAATGCCGGGGTATACAGTGCATATCACCTCATGCATACATTCAAGATACGGTATCAAGGCGCAACAGGAACACTGTTTATTCGCCAGCCCCTATCGCCTACGTTGGAAATCCGGGTCCTCTTGTTCTTGTCGTCGTCAGCCGTGAGCTCATGATGCGCTGTGGCGCGCTTGGAGCTCTCCCTTCCCTGAAGGAGCCCAGTTTTTCTCCACATGAGAGTGCAGTTGTCGTGTCAGACAGAGCAAGAGGAAAACAAGCTTTGTTGGTTGTTTCGTGTTGACAATTGAGATCGGCCCCGGAGAAGAGGATTTGAGATCGATGTCAGGATGAACCAACAAACGAACCAACATGTTTGCCAAGTATTAATCGACTACGCATTAAGCTAGTGTCTTCAATGTTCGCTGGGTTTGACTCAACTCGCGGCATGATTTATGCTAGAGATTATGGCTCTTTTACAGTTTAGAATGGTGTCGTGTTTCGGGTTACGCTTCACCGGGAATTTAGTCGAGCTGTAACGCCGGGAATACTACCTTGTGTGCTGCCGACCAGTCGTGTTAGAGGGCAGCCTGAAGTGGTGCAGATGATAGATGATGATGGGCCTTGTGATCATCAGGGCGGATTTCCCATCTTGCGTAACTGAGGATGTGGTGTTCCTCAATGGCTCTGTCGTAAAGTTGAAGCCGCTTAGCCGAGCCAAACATTTATATGCAACCCTTTAAAGCTATGTACTGTTCAGATGAGACAATATCTGGTGCACCGGTGGAATGCCTGTACCACAGTCTAGATATCCATGGCAGTTGAAAGGGTAGGGGAGACTATAGCACCTTACGTACGCGCGTTGTCGAGGGAGCATCCCAGTATCTGGAACCCTACATGTTGGAAATAATTGGGCCTGGTGGGATCGTTTGGACTTCCATTATCATACTTGTGAGGTGGGTCTAAGTTAGAGCGGGTTCGACGTCAGGGCGAAGTAATGCACATAAAGAAGAAGAAGAATGGAGTCCTCGATTAAAAGGCGCCTCATCTAGGAACCTATAATCATTGGAGTATGTGCAACAATCGAAACGTTAAGAAGTCAAGAAGAATCTCAAGAAAAAAAGATAGACAGTTAAAGTTCTACAATAGACGGAAATAAAGAAACGGGCAAATGCACAGGGGTAAAAGCCTTGGCTTTTTCTTAGCCAATGCTTATTACTTGGCCTTGGCACCTGAACTGGCACCCCAATTTTAAAATAGATGTCTCACCATGGCGTGAAAAATAAAGGTATGGCATTGTCTTTGTAAGCGGCTGCCGCCGGAAGCCTCTGTCGTCGTTGATACATATTTGGTGTTTTAGGTGTGTTTCTTTAAGCCGCATTATCCATCTACCTACCTTATACAATGCCAAACGTTATAAAATTCTAGCATTATGACACTTTCTCTTTCATGCTTAAACTGATATTTGAGAAAATATCGGTTATCGGCATCATATCAAGCACTTGTCTTGCGATCATCAACCATCTTTTGCTACAAAAGACTCCACAGAGATGCTGCAGATCTCCATTCTTTGCCCCTGGTCCTGACTAGTGTGCGGCTTGAACTGTCGAAGATCGGTAGA